AGGTATTATTTATATTTTTAAGAATCATGATATGATTTGTATGTTAAAATGCAGATTAAACATTCTAGTTTATGATACGAGATAAAAATTATAAGCTAATATTATTAAATTTTCCTGGAAAAACTTATTAAAGATGAAACTGTCAAATTTATATTATCTGTAATTAATGTAATTAATTTTGGTAATGATTTATTGAAACGGTTATTTGTTATAATTTTTTGAAAATTATTGAAAATAATTGTTTCTCCAGAAAAACGATAAAGTGCATTTTTATGTTTATAAATTAATATCTCAAAAACTAAAAGATATTTCGAAAATCTGTTTCTTTCATTGGAAAGCCGATAATTTGTGTTGCAAATGCTGATAATTTCATAAGAATTTGTTAAAACAACGATTTGTTGCGATTTTTTGAAAATGAATGAAAATAATTGTTTATCTCGAAAAAGATGAAAAAATGCTTTCTGTTAAAAAATGAATATCTTAAAAACTAACGGATATCTTGAAAATCCGTTTCTGTCATTGGAGAGCTTATAATTTGTACTACAATTGCTGATAAAATCGTAATGATTTATTGAAATCCTTCTTTATGATTTTTTGAAAATTATTGAAAATAATTATTTCTCCAGAAAAATGAGAAAGTGTATTATTACGATTATAAATTAATATCTCAAAAACTAAGAGATATTTCGAAAATCCGTTTCTTTCATTGGAAAGCCGATAATTTGTATTGCAAAGGCTGATAATTTCATAAGAATTTGTTAAAACAACGATTTATTGCGATTTTTTGAAAATGAATGAAGATAATTGTTTATTCCGAAAAAGATGAGAAAATGCCTTCTGTTAAAAAGTTAATATCTCAAAAACTAACTGATATTTTGAAAATCCGTTTCTGTCATTGGAGAGCTTATAATTTGTGCTATAATTGCTGATAATGTCGTAACGATTTTTTGAAATGCCTATTTTGTTATGATTTTTTGAAAATTATTGATAGTAATTGTTTCTCCAGAAAAATGAGAGAGTGCATGAGAGAGTTTATAAATTAATATCTCAAAAACAAAAAGATATTTCGAAAATCCGTTTCTTTCATTGAAAAGCCGATAATTTGTGTTGCAAATGCTTATAATTTTATAAAAGTTTGTTAAAACAACAATTTATTGCGATTTTTTGAAAATTTGGTGAAATTGTTCTCGTTATGTTTAAAAGCTAATTTCGATATTTTGAAAATCAGTTTCTGTCATGGGAGAGCTTATAACTTGTACTACAATTTTTTTTTTCTATATTATGCATAGCTCAATTGCATAACACCTAGTAAATACATAGTAATTAGTTACTTATTTTTAACACTAAATTAAACTAGATAATGTTTTGCAGCTTTTCCCAGTGGTCCAGTCTGGTTTACCCATAATATAGATAAATATTGTCATATTTTTACCGTTTTAAGACCAAAATGCAAAAACGCGCACACTGCGATACGCGGAACACACGTATTGGGTATTATTGTTTTTGTTATAATTCCGCACTATTGCTCGCGTTTGAATCGACTAGGGCACTAGGTCACTAAATCGAACGGCTTCATCCGCTGAAGGCGACGTAGGACATCCTTGTTGTCGAGAAGCTGGATGGCCTCGATGTTGGGATGATCGTGCATTCTCTTCTCATGTTTACATGCGAATGATGCAATTTCTGATGACACCGATGCTACTTTCAAGTCGCGATGGAGGTCGGTGTTTCTTATATACCAGGGTGCATTCACTATGCACGTTACTACTTTGTTCTGGAATCCTTGAATCAGACTTGCATTTGTCTTGCAGGTACAACCCCACAGTTGGATTCCGTATGTCCATTTTGGTTTTAATACTTACTTGTATATTAACAACTTGTTTTTTAGTGATAGCGTTGATTTTCTGCCAATAAGCCAATATAGGTGTCTAAATTTGATATCAAGTTCCTCACGTTTTTTTTTGACGTGAGCTTTCCATTTGAGTTTGGCATCCAGCGTCATACCAAGATATTTTGCGGTGTCGGCGTAAGGGATTGCATTGCCATTTATGTGTACTGGGACATAGTTTATTTTCTTGTAAGTAAAGTTTATATATGTCGATTTATTTGTATTTAGTTTTATTAGTCATCGTTTGGTCCAGTTTTCTATTGAATTTAATGCCAATTGTAACTTATTTGCTGCAACTACTTCATTTTCTGCAACAGCCAAGATCGCTGTGTCGTCTGCGAATGTAGCTGTTAAAGTTTCTGGTACCTGAGGAAGGTCGAATGTGTAGAGTAAGTACAATGTTGGGCCAAGCACACTTTCTTGAGGAACTCCGGCTCGTATTTCATGTATTGGTGAATAAGCGTTTTCGTATTTTACTCTATAATATCGATCAGAAAGATATGATTTTAGTAGTTGACTATACGTTGATGGTAGTATTTGGTCTAGTTTGTAATTTAAACCATCTAACCAGACTTTGTCGAAAGCTTGTGCAACATCCAAAAATATGGCGGAGCAGACTTTATTTTCTTCCATTGCTATTTCGATAATATTCGTTATTCTATGCACTTGGTCTATTGTTGCATGTTTATTCCGAAACCCAAATTGATGTGTTGGTATTAGGGCTTTTTCTTCTATGACAGGTTTTAGTCTTTTTAATAGTAATTTTTCAAGCAGTTTTGATAGTAAGGGTAATAATGAGATTGGCCTATATGATGTAACATCTGTGGGGGGTTTACCAGGTTTTGGTATCATTATTATTTCAGCATACTTGGGAAGTATTTCTGTTTAAAAGCAGCATTAATTATGTGTAATAGTTTTGTAATCGCCCGTTTTGGTAGATGTTTCAATGTTTCTCCATTAATTAGGTCATAGCCTACTAATTTCTTCATATTTAGTTTTTGTATTTCATAATACAGTTCTTTCATTCTTACACATGGTATATTACTCTACTGATTGTACTACAATTGCTGATAATATCGTAATAATTTATTAAAATCCCTATTTGTTATGATTTTATGAAAATTATTGATAATGATAGTTTCTCCAAAAAAATGAAAAAATGCATTATTACGTTTATAAATTAATATCTCAAAAACTAAAATATATTTCGAAAATCCGTTTCTTTCATTGGAAAGCCAACAATTTGTATTGCAAATGCTGATAATTTCATCAGAATTTATGAAAACAACGATTTATTACGTTTTCTTGAAAATATTGTGATATTAATTGTTCTCGTTATGTTTAAAAACTTATTTTTCAAAAACTTAAAGGTATTTCGAGAATCCGTTTTTTTCATTGGAAAGCCTGTAATTTGTATTGCAAATGCTGATAATTTCGTAAGAATTTATTAAAACAACGATTTATTGCGATTTTTTGAAAATGAATGAAAATAATTGATTATCCCGAAAAAAATGAGAAAATGCCTTTTGTTAAAAAGTTAATATATCAAAAACTAACAGATATTTTGAAAATTCGTTTCTGTCATTGGAGAGCTTATAACTTGTACTACAATTGCTGATAATATCGTAATGATTTATTCAAATGCCTATTTGTTATGATTTTTTGAAAATTATTGAAAATAATTGTTTCTCCAAAAAAATGAGAAAGTGTATTATTACGTTTATAAATTAATATCTCAAAAACTAATAGATATTTCGAAAATCCGTTTCTTTCATTGGAAAGCCAACAATTTGTATTGCAAACGCTGATAATTGCATAAGAATTTATTAAAACAACGATTTATTACGATTTTTTGAAAATGAATGAAGATAATTGTTTATTCCGAAAAAGATGAGAAAATGCCTTCTGTTAAAAAGTTAATATCTCAAAAACTAACAGATATTTTGAAAATCCGTTTCTGTCATTGGAGAGCTTATAAGTTGTACTACAATTGCTGATAAAATCGTAATGATTTATTAAAATCCCTGTGTTAATTATTTGTTATTTTATTAATCATATATTTTTTATTATATGTATTTACCCTCATGTTATCAAGTTATCCGTTGCACGGCGTAAAAATTGATTCGTCGTCAACGCGACATTCGTCGTCAACGCGATAACAAACAAAACAAAAATATAAATATAATTATTCACAACTCGAACGCACGTCTTTCAATGTTTGGCTGTTGCAAACAAATAAAAATAAGGTATTTTTCACGAAAGAAGTTTTTCAACCAGTGCAACCCAGAGAAACCCAGATATTATTTAAACACCCTGTTTGTTATGATTTTTTGAAAATGATTGTTTCTCTAAAAAAATTAAAAAATTCATTATTACGTTTATAAATTAATATCTCAAAAACTAAAAGAAACATTCTAGTTGATGATATAATATAAAAATTATTAGGTAATATTATTAAAATTTCCAGGAAAAAAATATTAAAGGGGAAGCTGTCAAATTTATGAATCAAAGACAACAACATTGTCAAAAAATCCTATCGACCGTATTTTTAAGAATTATGATATAATATGTATGTCTAATTGATGCCTAAACATTCTAGTTTATGATATGATATAAGAATTATAGGATAATATTATTAAAATTTCCTGTAACAAAATTTTAAAAATTAAACTGCCAAATTATGAAAATTATACGAAATTTGACAAATTCTTTTATAATTCTTTACTTCAAATTTCAATAATATTATCTAATACTTTTTATATCACATCATAAACTAGAATCTTTAAGCTTCAATTTAACATATATATCATATCATGCTTCTTAAAAATACAATTGATACGTTTTTTTGAAAATTTCGTATTATCCTTTAGTAATAAATGTATCAATTGCTTCTTTAATAATTTTTTCCTCGAAATCTTAGTAATATTATCTCATAGTTTTTACATCACATCATAAACTAGAATCTTTAAGCTTCAATTTAACATACAAATCATATCAGTGTCTCGTTATACAATATCTACATATTTATTTTATTTATCCACATTTTCTGTCAACAAATCTCACACTTAACATTTTAATCTTTAACCTCTCTTTATCATTTTTTTAAACCAACTTGTTGATGCGCTATATTAATCCCAACTTTTAATATCACTCCTCATTTTACATTCAATAAATCATCATGCCCCCGAACAACACCCAAGAATTAGGCACAATCGGTTTCAAATCACGAATTCCCGGATTCGGCGTCAAAGAAAAAAGTTCTCGAGTTTGGCTAAACGGAAGAAAACAAATCGACGGGGCCGAAAACGTTTTTTGGAGAGTCCACGATGGACTTTATGATTTAACCGGGTTTATTAAAAACCATCCCGGAGGATCACAATGGTTAGAATTAACACAAGTAAGTTGGTGCTTTAATAATTAATTAATTTAAAGGATTAAAGATTAAAAAATTTTTGTTTTTAGGGAACTGATATAACCGAAGCTTTTGAGGCACATCATTTGAGTGAAAAGCCAGAAAAATTACTTGAAAAGTTTTATATCAAGGATGCTATAACTGAGAGGGTGTCACCTTACACTTTTAAAAGAGATGGGTTTTATAGGACACTAAAAAAACGAGTTGGAATTATTTTAAAAGATACTCCAAAAATCCCGATAACGATTTCAAAATTTTATGCAGATTCTTTATTAATTTTAACATTTTTAACATCGTTATTAGCATGCAACTTTGGAAATTATTTCCTTGTTGGATTATCCGGATTTTTTCTCGCAACCGTTATCATCTCAGCTCACAATTATTTCCATCAAGCCGATAATTTTAGGATGTTTTATTTCCAATTAGGATTTCAAAGTGTTAAGTACGTCGATTAAAAAAAAATTAACACATTTATCACAATTTTTTTTATAGAGAATGGAGAGTTAGCCACGCTTTAAGCCACCATTTATTTCCAAACACCATAATCGACATGGAGATGTACATTTTTGAGCCATTAGCAACGTATTTTCCAAAAAATAAATCTTTTTTGAAGCGTTATTTACCCTGGTTGGTTTCACCATTGATTTGGTGTTTAGTTTTTCATGGAAGTTTCTTTTTAAGGCTCCGCGAATTCTTTAAATACAACAAAAAAGAATTTAATATTTCCTATTTAATTCCATTTTCTTTACCGATTTTTCTTGTAACTTTCTCAAATCAACCAGTAATAACTTGTTTTTATTTTTGGACTTGTATCATTTTATCCGGTTCGTTTATTTTCGCTATCATTGGAATTAATGCAGCACATCATGCTCCTGATATCTTCCATGATGGTGATGCTGCGAGGAATGAAAAAGATTTTGGGATAGCTCAATTAGATGCAGTTATGGATCGCGAGGAGATTTTGGGGTCGCATTTATGGACTTTGACCACTTTTGGGCAACACGCTCTTCACCATCTTTTCCCAACGATCGATCATGGATTGTTGAAGTTTATTTACCCAGTGTTTGAGGAGACCATGAATGAATTTGGTGTTGGTTTGAGGTTATCAAATAGTTTTAAGTTGATGAAGGGGCAATTTAGACAAATTGCTAAAGTTGAACCGAATTTAATTCCTCCTGGATTTGATTTAATAAAAAATAAATAAAAATTTTGTGAAATTATATCTTATTTTTGTGTGATCTACCACTCTACAGAAGTATTTACTTGCCAATTGGATTGGCATGATAAATTTAGATTGAAAATCTTGCCGAATTGTGCTACAATATTTATACACCAGCAAAAGAAATAAATGCAAAAAAATTTGCACGACTATATTCTGTTAACCAAACAGATGCAGTGAACCTGAGCGAAGCCACGCTTATTTCCCTCACTATTGCACAATAATTAGTTTCACATACAAGAAAAAATACATACATACAAAGAAAGAAAGTTCCCTTAACGATTCTTTGTCTGAGGGAGCTGTCTATCCATCCACAAAGGGTAGGAGGACCATTTTGGTCAGTCAAAGCCTCGTCAATAACCAAGAAGGTCGTCTTATCAAAGGCAGACAGTTTCAACGACAGGTGAAAGGTGAAAAACTGTTTATTGCCCACCTCATTTTGTCCTGCGTGCAGATCTTCTGTAGTCGGTGTGTGGTTGGTGTCTCCATGAGCTACTATAGAGTCTACCGAACCTGGTACACATTTATTAGTTAATATTGTGATCACCTCGTTATATAAAGTAAAAATTTTGTAAATTGGGATGATCTGACTAAATTCGAATCAGTTTTGGAGGAAATTTCCTCTTCCGAGGAAGAATCGTTCCCCACATCAATTGTTAGCCGCTCCATTCTGACCTCGGTCCATCGCTCCATCGTCGACCTGCCACAATTTTTCTTCCTCCCCTTTGGCATGACGAATAGCATTCCTCCAATTACCTACAGAAACATTGCTTACAGCTTGTTGAAATAATGGGTGCAGATCTTTCATTTTAAATGATATATTATATCTTGCAACTCCTCCTTTTATTAATTCAACGGGGTTTAATTCACAATCATATGGGGACAATCGCCCCCATTTCATAATGTTCATCCCATTATCATAATTCTAGAATACTCTAGGACTCCAGGAATACTCCAGGACTAGTGGGTATCTTCTCTGTATTTCGGCTATGATATGAAACCATCTTTCGAACACTTCAGCATTCATCTTATCATGATAATTTCCAGTCTTTTTTGACTCAAAACAGAGCAAACCATAATGAGATTCAGATTCTAGTTTATGATATAATATAAAAATTATAAAATAATACAATAAAAATTTTGAAAAAAAATTGTTAAAGAGGAAGCTGTCTAATTAATGAATCAAAAATTATATGAAATTGTCAAAAAATCATATCATCTGTACTTCTAAAAATTATGATATAATACATATGTTAAATTGTAGCTTAAACATTTTAGTTTATGATATGATACAAAAATTATCATTTTTAATATTAAAAATAATATTAACCCTAGGATGTTTAACTACCTAATAGGTGGTAAGTGACCCTACTGGGCCTCGCGAGGCCCATAAGCCATGGTCAGTTGTCCTTACGATTTTCGTCCAGCTAAGTGTCCCATCGAAAGCTGCTATTGGGTAGATCTATTGTATGACGCTATAGCTGTATGTGGGTGTCATTATTAGGGGGTCTCTTAACAGGGTGGTGCAGTTGGGATGCTTTAGTAAAATTACTATTTTTGTATGGTTAACTTTAAACTTTAATAGATTTATTTATTAGTTAACTAGTTAATAGTTAACTACAAATAAACAGAAATGAATTGTTATCGTATAGTTTTCTAAATTTATGATTCTTTAGCAGCACAGTCATGGCACAGACAAATTTTCCTCATAGAGCCGTGTTCAAGGCACATGAATTTTTTACATTTTTCACACGACAAGAACGTTTTGCGCCGCTTTTTCTTGTGCTGAGGATTGCACCACAGTCCTTTCGTTCTTTTTTTGCTGGTGGTGCGGATGTGCTTGGTGCTGGGTATTGTTCAAGGTAATGCGACGGTGTCTGTAATAATAAAGGTAGAATTAGGAATATATAATACTTTATTTTTTATAATTACTTACAAAAACATGAAATTTTGCCATAGGTGCACTGATATTAGGCCAGCGGCTAACGTGACTATTCATTGCTCTATTCTCCATGTGAGGAGTAACCAACTGAGATGTCAAAACCGTTAGGAATTCACGACGTTTATCCGTTTTGCGTGATGGTTGGAAAGAATTGTGAATAATAAATGATGCCAGTCCAGCGACATCTAACATATTATAAAACAAGGCTAATGGCCAACGGTTTGTGCCACGCTTGCAAGAGTAGCCACTGAGCATCTGGTCCATAGTATCGACACATGCTTTATTTTCGTTGTAATCTAGAATTTGATAAGGCTTAGATTTGTTGGCATTGTCGACGTTGGATGCATAATGCTCGGTTGAGAGTAAAATGACTCCTCCGGGACAAACCGTTTGTTGGATCGGACAGTGCCCACAATTGCGAGTTTCAATGTACGCAGTTCTTCAGCCAAGTCCAAAGAAGTGAAGAAATTGTCGCAATAAATTGTACGACCGGTTCCATGGAATTTTCGTACCAAAGATAACACCACTCGCTTGCCCTGCTGCACATCTCGTAAGGCGCCTGCCAATTTACCGGTGTATATCTCACCCTTTAGTGGATAACTGTTCTTCGCATCACAAATCCACCATACCTTGATTCCATATTTAGCCGGCTTCGAAGGGATGTAATGTGTGAAGCGCGTGCGACCTCGATATGGAAACAATTGCTCATCAACAGTGAGATTCGCTGATGGCACGTACGCGCGTTCCAAATTGGTGTTTAGCATTATCCAAAGGTCGTCGATGGCTGCACTTTTACTCAATGCCTCACGATCCGGTCGCGTGTTTCCGTTGTCAAACCGAATGTAGCGTAAGAGTAGCTTGAAGCGGCTGAGGGACATCGTGGCTTTGTAGATGTCATGGTGATACGGCTTCCAAAGTTCTTTAGCTGGCTGTGTATTCGAATTGAACATACCAGCAAATAATAATAATCCGAAGAACGCGTACATCTCATTCTCGTTTGTTTCTGTCCAAACTCTTGCAGTCGAATCAGGATGGGCTATATTCCAATCGCGTATGATGCCAGATGCTTTGCGATTTGTTTCGCAAACAATTAGATTAACCATCTCCGGAGTAACAAATTGCTTGAATATGCTGATTGGACTGGCAAAAACTTGCTGCATAACTGGGGTAGGACCACATCTGGCAACAACTGGAACATTGTGTGCATGCGGACGGTATCTTGCCGGTGGATTTTTCATCCAAACAACCCCAACTTTGGATGTGTAAAATTCGCCAACGGGCAATTGTGAATTATTCACAGTAACCGCCTGTCCTTCGACAACTTCTTCCTCTTCTTCATCACTATCGTCACTGTCCACCGCAATATTCTTCTCAATGTGCAACTTTTCTTCAGCATCGGACGCCGCTTCATCAGGGGGAATATAGTCTTCATCAGCATCATCACCTCCGAACGGATCATCTTCTTCATCCTCGATATTCTCACTCGCAAAAAACGCGGCCAGTCTGTCCTCAGTGAGCTGCTACCGGTCTCTCGAAAGTCTAGAAAATCTTTCACGCCTATTTAGAACCATATCAAAGTCTTCCCACACTTCGTCGCTTATTCCCGACATTTCAAATGGTACAAAGCAAGAAAACCGAAGAGCACAAAAAACACAGTAAAAATGCAACACAAAGTATGTTTACCCGATCAATGCCAAAAGAAAACTACACACAAGAGTTTTACACATACACATATGGCGGCATACAGTCGCCAAACGTGATCAATCGTGTTTGAACACGTTTTGTTGGCAACTTATATACGTTTCCCATAGATTGAACGGACGAGCCTTGTGAGGCCCAGTGGGTACACTTACCACCTTGATACCAGGGGCGGCGCGATGCGGTAAGCAAGCTAAGCACCGCATGGGGGCGCATTATAACGGGGGCGCATTATAACGGGGGCGCCAACGCCGCCAACGTAGACCTCAATAATAAAAATTATTTAAAAAAATTATTAAAAAAGAAGTAATAATAAAATATTGGCATTTTTCATATGCATGTATGTACGGTATATTAAGATAATTATTATTTTGTATACATTATTTCTAAAAAAAAGTCTATACGACGACTAGGCGCTCTTTTGGAGCCCTGCGTCTGGCGTCGCGTCGCCGTATAGTCGCGTCGTTGCGTCGCGTTTAGGGATTTCTAAAGAACAACTCGACTTGTTATTTAGATTTGCACATTAGTTTGTGTACTCTGGGTGTAAAGTGTATCTCCTCTCGAAATCCATTGTTTATTTGTGAATTGTTCATCCGTAAATAGGTAAGTTTATGTTAGGTGTTATATTTACATTAAATTTATGAAATTAAAAAATAACCTGTAGTTGTCACCTAAAAATGTCGAAAAAACTTTCCGGATATCAAAATCGAAAACGCAAAGCGACCAGAGAATTGGAGTTGGAAAAACAAAGAGACGATATAAAGAAATATTTGATGACAAAAAATGAAGTTTTACCAGTTCCTTCGAATGAAAATCTACGTGAAGATCAACTACCGGCATCTCAAAGCCATTCTGCAGACAAAAGCGCACAACATACTAAATCTCCTGAACCTGAAATCGAACCGCAGGGAGCATCTTCTGAAGAAACCTTATCCACATCAACAAAATTTCTGATTACTGATGATACACCAACATTAGATGTTTTGAACAATCTTCAAGATCCAGCTACATGGCCTCCAATAAATGAAAAAGTAAGAAAACTTTTAATTCAACTCGGACCGACAAAGAAACAAAACGTATTGTACCCATCTGATGATAACGGAAGAAAATTCAGCGATACATATTATTATCGTAAAATGCCAAGTTCGGAATCTGTTCCTAGAGACTGGTTAATGTACTCGGAAAAAAGCAATAGCGTATTTTGTTTTTGCTGTAAATTGTTTACCTGTCACTCATTGGAGAATATTAATACAAGCCGCCTAATTACAACTGGATATTCTAAATGGCAAAATTTGTCACAAACTTTACATAGTCATGAAACATCTTTAGCTCATTTAAACAACTTTAAACAATGGGTTCATTTAGAACGTGCGTTGAAATCAAAACGAACAATTGATCAACAACAAGAAAAATTATTTGAGTTGGAAAAACAGCACTGGCGTGCGATTTTAGAAAGATTTATTGAAATTATAAAATATTTATGTAAACAATGTCTTCCCTTGAGAGGAAAATCAGATCAATTATTTGTTAGAAATAATGGAAATTTTTTACAACTTGTACAATTACTGGCAAAATTTGATGTGACTATGTCTAGTCATCTTCAAAAAACGTTACAAAAGAAATCTGTGCATTATATGAGTAAAGATGTACAGAATGAATTAATTGCTTTATTAGCTAAAAAAATTAAAGAAAAGATTTTATTGTTAATTCAAAAGGCAAAATATTTTTCAATTATATTGGATTGTACTCCGGATATCAGTAATACTGAGCAAATGACCATTATTATAAGATTTGTGTCAACTGATGACCAAGTTCAGATTCAAGAACATTTTCTTGGTTTCATTGACATCAAAGATTCAACTGGTGAAGGTTTAACCAATTATATAATAGAAAAAATTAAAGAATTTAATTTAGACATCAGCAACTTGCGTGGCCAAGGTTATGACAATGGTGCGAACATGAAAGGGAAAAACAATGGATTACAGAGACACATCTTAAATATTAATTCCAGAGCTTACTTTACCCCTTGTTCTGCTCACTCCCTAAATTTAGTAGTCAAGGATGCCGCTAACTGCAACCACCAAACTATTACGTTTTTCGGAATTGTTCAAGAAATATATAATTTTTTTTCGGCATCAACTAAACGATGGGATATTTTGAAAAAATGTGTACCAAATTTAACATTAAAACCATTGTCCGATACTCGTTGGGAGTCTCGTGTTGAAGCTTTAAAACCATTGCGATTCCAAATTGGTGAAATTTACGACGCTTTGTTTCAAATTCAGGAGAATGAAAAAATGGATAACCAAATCAAATGTCAGGCTAGAATTTTGTGTTCCAAAATTGCCAATTTTCACTTTGTATGCTCATTAGTACTGTGGTATGATATACTTAATAGAGTAAATGTAGTTAGCAAACTCCTGCAGAAGATCGAAATGGATGTTGGAACCGCTTTAAAAGCTATAAATAATTTAACTACTTACGTAAAAAATTACCGCACTGATGAAGGTTTTCAAAATCTAATAGAAACCTCATCCGATTTAGCTACCATACTCGAAATACCTACTGACTTTCAAATCTTAGGTAACGTACGAAAAAGAAAACAAAAACGACAATTCGATTATGAACATAAGGATGAAACCCCACAAACACCAAGCGAGCGCTTTAAAATAAATTTCTTCAATGTAATTTTAGATACAACTATAAATTCCCTAGAAGAAAGATGCGAACAGTTAACAGTTCATAATAATTATTTTAATTTTTTACATAATTTAGGAAATTTACCGACTTTAAATACAACCGATCTTAAAAAACATTGCGACGACTTAGAGCTATATCTTACAGATGGAAAAGATAAGGATATAATTTCTACCGAATTATTTAATAAATTACTTTGTTTTAAAGACATATTCCTAACAGAATTAAATTCAATTAATACCCCTTTCAGTGCACTACGTTATATTTATAAAAATAATTTAGAAACATTGTATGTTAACTTAAGTATCGCTTTACGGGTTTTATTAACGCAACCGGTAACAGTTTCAAGTGGGGAACGATCGTTTTTACGGTTAAAAATTATAAAAACCTATCTTAGATCAACTTTATCACAAGAACGTTTTGTCGAACTTGCGTTGATCGCAATAGAAAGTGATGTATGTGACAAATTGATAACAACGAGATAATTGAAAATTTTGCAAGTGCTAAAGCACGAAGAGTAAACGTTTAATGATTGTTAATATCTATTTTTTTAGATGTAAAATAGCATTTGTATTTTGTATACTGTATAAAAAATGTAATAATAAATGTAGTATCTGCTATTGCTTTTTATTTTAGTATTTAATATAAGTAACACTGGAAATATGTAAATTCAAACGGTACTGAAAATGTTTTAAACATTTTTAGAAGGGCGCATTTTCTAAGATCTGCATAGAGGCGCCAAGGGGGCTAGCGCCGCCTCTGCTTGATACATAAACAGATCAGGTTTGTTCTACAAATTCAATGCAAATAATCTTTAGCTAGGTTTGTTACGTTTAGAAAACATAAGCAATAGTTCGCATAAAATATTTCGGCGCTCTGAACTAAGAAAAAAATTTGGTGACTACTAAAAGTCAAAATGGGCCTCGAAAAGCCCAGTCGCACATCCTAGGGTTAAAAATAAATATATTATTGGTATTTTGAAAAAAAAATTGTTAAAAAGGAAACTGTCAAATTTATGAATCAAAAATTATACGAAATTGTCAAAAAATCATATCATCTGTACTTCTAAGAATCATGATATAATGAGTGCGGGAAGTTAGCCCCCCATTTTTTGATTTTTAAATTTTTTATTGTTGTTCTAAATTGTTCTAGAGTTGTTCTACATTGTTCCAAAGCGGCAAATCAAAAAAATAAAAACTCCACGAGAAAACCGAAAAACAGGTTTTTTGACTAGCCCCCCATTTTTGGAAAAATCAAATTTTCTTTGTTGTTCTGGGTTGTTCTAGTTATTGTTCTAGAAAATCAAAATTATGGGATACAGCATTACGAAGTTATAACTAAAAAAAGGTTTAGCCGCCGAAATGTCTAGTTGATTGTTGTGACCATAGTTTTTCTATTATCAATTCCATATTACAAATATATACTTATTATAGCTAACGCTATTATTTTCACTAGAACAACTCTCTAAAGGGCACTTTACTCTTTGAAAATTAAAATTTTTGGAAGTTTCAGTCAGTAATTCTTGTGTCAGCGGTTTTATATTACACAATAAGAATTAAAAAACATAGATCAAGCTAAAATAACTCAAACTTTGCCGATTCAAATTGTTCTAGATGTGTTTTACGTTTAACACGAACATTAATTTTGCAAAATCACATATTTTTTGTTGCTCTAAATCAGCGATGCACAGACTTATTAAGACTAGGGGCCACTCGGGCAAATCATGAACTGATGGCGGGCCGCTAGAAGTATAGGTAATTAAAGACAATAAAGAATTGATAATAATGTATTAAAATTGAAAAAGAATTTATTAATTTGAAGCGTGGCACTGCATAGTGCTTACAATCTTTTTTATATTTGGCTCAAATTTACTTGTAGCAACACGTAACACTGCTTCCAAACTATCATTTGCAAGGCGGTTTCGATTTTTTGTTTTATTATTTAGTATTGAAAAAGTTTGTTCACATATATAGGTAGAACCAAATAAGCTGGCACATTTCAGAGCGCAACTCTTTGTACATATTTTTATCAATGCAGCGGTAAAAGTTCTGCAAGTCTCCTTCGTTGAATTTGTTGCGTAAATCTTGGTCGTTTTGAATGTCGATAATTTCTAACTGCATTGACTCTGGCGCATTTTCAACTGAAATCGTGAAAGGATTGCTGAATATGTCCAACAGAGGTTTCACTTTTTTAAACNGAACATGCTTAAGCAACATGATGGAGTATGTTTTGGTGCCGAGAACTGCGGTCTAGAACGTTTGGTCACTTTACTATGGCACGTTAACTTTTCAAAATTTGGAAGTACCATAACTTCATTTTTTTAAATAGCACCCCCATATTTTATTTCTTAATCGTGTTCGGTGTCTCATTCTACATCTTTTATATCCCATATGTCCCATACCTAATATTAATAGTTTGGGAGATAATTAGGGTTTTTTGAAAAATGCACACATCATATGGATATTTAGCCTAGTACAGATTTTTTTCTGAAGTCATTAAATAATATCTAATTGAGTTGTTTTAGATTGTTCTATGTTTTTTAATTCTTATTGTGTAATATAACACCGCTGACACAAGAATTACTGATTGAAACTTCCAAAAACTTTAATCTTCAAACAGTAAAGTGCCCTTTAGAGAATTGTTCTAGTGAAAATAATAGCTGTTCCAGATTGCGTTAGCTACAATAAGTATATATTTGTAATATGGAATTGATAATAGAAAAACTATGGTAATAGTGGTCTAGCTATCAACTAGACATTTAGGCGGCCAAACCTATTTTTAGGTATAACTTCGTAACCATGATTTTGATTTTCTAGAACAATAACTAGAACAACCTAGAACAACAAAATGGGGGGCTAGTTAAAAAACCCGTTTTTTCGGTTTTCTCGCGGAGTTTTTATTTTTTCGATTTGCCGCTTTGGAACAATGTGGAACAACTCTAGAACAATTTAGAATAACAATAAAAAAATTAAAAAACCAAAAAATGGGGAGCTAACTTCTCGCACTCTAATATAATATGTTTGTTAAATTGTAGCTTAAACATTCTAGTTTATGATATGACATAAAAATTATAAGATAATATTATTAAAATTTTGAAAAAAAAATTGTTAAATAGCAATATTTCATAAAGATATCTTTAGAATTCGATTTTTCGATATAATGTAAAAGTTTTTTTACTACATAATTGAAGTTGAGTTCATATGGACAAATTTATATTAAATTGTTAACTTTTAACTTTGTATGTTGTAAGCACAAACGTTCCTTTATACCATGAATTAATTTTAATGATTAAATCATGGCCGTTTTGGTGAAAATAATTTTTTTGGTGAAAAGAATTTTTAAATTAGCATCTTTATTGACACTTAGGTTAAACTAAAATGGTAAATTTTATTTCAAAATCTTTTTTTTCAATATTTTTCCAATCCAACCTAACAATTATTATACATCATTTTAAAAACAAAGTTTTGAGCTTTAATTCAAAATAAGTCTCATTCCTTAATTTCAATAAACACGGCTTCCAGGAATTTTTAAATTAGCATCTTTTTTGACACTTAGGTTTAACTAAAATGTAAGTTTTATTTCAAAATTTTTTTTTTCAATATTTTTCCAATCCAACCTAACAATTATTATACATCATTTGAAAGAGAAAGCTTTGAGCTTTAATTTAGAATAAGTCTCATTCCTCAATTTCAATAAACACGGCGTCCAGGAATTTTTAAATTAGCATCTTTTTTGACACTTAGGTTTAACTAAAATGTAAGTTTTATTTCAAAATTTTTTTTTCAATATTTTTCCAATCTAATCCAACAATTATTATACATCACTTTAAAAGGAAAGCTTTGAGCTTTAATTTAGAATAAGTCTCATTCCTTTATTTCAATAAATACGGCTTCCAGGAATTTTTAAATTAGCATCTTTTTTAACACGTTTATGTTATACGAAAATGTAAGTTTTGTTTCAACATTTTTTTTCTCAATATTTTTCCAATCTAACCCAACAATTATTATACATCATTTTAAAGAGAAAGCTTTGAGCTTTAATTTAGAATAAGTCACATTCCTTAATTTCAATAAACACGGCTTCCAGGAATTCTTAAATTGGCATCTTTTTTGACACTTAGGTTATACTAAAATGTAAGTTTTATTTAAAAAATTTTTTTTCTCAATATTTTTCCAATCTAACCCAACAATTATTATACATCATTTTAAAGAGAATGCTTTGGGCTTTAATTTAAAATAAATCTCATTCAATAAACTTGTTTATTATTATTATTGCTTAATTTCAATAAACACGTCTTCCAGGAATTTTTAAATTTGCATCTTTTTTGACACTTAGGTTAAAGTAAAATGTAAGTTTTATTTCAAAATTTTTTTTTTCAATATTTTTCCAATCTAATCCAACAATTATTATACATCATTTTAAAGAGAAAGCTTTGAGCTTTAATTTACAATAAATCTCATTCCTTAATTTCAATAAACACGGCTTCCAGGAATTTTTAAATTAGCATCTTTTTTGACACTTAGGTTAAACTAAAATGTAAGTTTTATTTAAAATTTTTTTTTTCAATATTTTTCCAACCTAATCCAACAATTACTATACACCATTTTAAAGAGAATGCTTTGGGCTTTAATTTAAAATAAATCTCATTCCTTAATTTCAATAAACACGGCTTCCAGGAATTTTTAAATTAGCATCTTTTTTGACACTTAGGTTGAACTAAAATGTAAGTTTTATTTCAAAAATTTTTTTTTTTTTATTTTCAATCTAATCCAACAATTATTATACATCATTTTAAAGAGAATGCTTTGAGCTTTAATTTCGAGTAAGTCTTATTCCTGAATTTCAATAAACACGGCTTCCAGGAATTTTTAAATTGGCATCTTTTTTGGCACTTTTAGGTTATACGAAAATGTAAGTTTTATGTCCACATTTTTTTTCTCAATATTTTTCCTATCCAACCCAACAATTATTATACATCATTTTAAAGAGAAAGCTTTGAGCTTTAATTTAAAATAAGTCTCATTCCTTAATTTCAATAAATACGGCTTCCAGGAATTTTTAAATTAGCATCTTTTTTGACACTTTTAGGTTATACGAAAATGTAAGTTTTGTTTCAACATTTTTTTTCTCAATATTTTTCCTATCCAACCCAACAATTATTATACATCATTTTAAAGAGAAAGCTTTGAGCTTTAATTTAAAATAAGTCTCATTCCTTAATTTCAATAAACACGACTTCAAAGAATTTTTAAATTAACATCTTTTTTGACAATTTTAGGTTGTACGAAAATCTAAGTTTTACTTCAACATTTTTTTTCTCAATATTTTTCCAATCTATCCCAACAATTATTATACATCACCTTAAAGAGAAAGCTTTGAGCTTTAATTTAGAATAAGTCTCATTCCCTAATTTCAATAAATACGGCTTCCAGGAATTTTTAAATTAGCATCTTTTTAACACTTTTATGTTATACGAAAATGTAAG